CTAACAAACACTTTTACAGTTTCACGCTTGAAGTCAAACAAGCTACAGGAGAGACTGATTCTTCATCCCTGATTCCACACCAATGAGTTAATTAATCTCTTTGCTGCAGGACCGGTGCCTGAGCAGAAGTGGACACAAGAAAATGGGAAGGAGAATGTGCTAAAGGGAAGCCAGGTGGTTCGGCAGCTCGCGTTTGGGGCAGGTAAAGTGAAATCCAACAATAATAAAAAAGCAAGCGATAGGCCTTAAATACATTTGAAAATTAACGTCAATTAGAACGACAGCTTACATGAAGATCCCAGTTAATTACAGTCTGTTTTAATTAAACAGTAAACAACACTCCACCACTGTTCGCTGCTGCTGTTCTAAAATACATCGAATTAGCGAAGCAGAAGGCGAGCACAAGGAACTGGGACTCACTGGAGCACAAACCCGGAGCTGGAGAGACGCAGCCGGAATATTCTCTCCGTGCGGGCTCAGCTCAGCTCAACCCCCAGCTCCTTCCGCGGCGAGAGGGCACCGCCAGCAGAAAAGGCACTGGGCTTGTTCTCCTCTTGCAGTTTAGGAAGGAAAAGGGGAAGGAGGCTGCAATCCCAACAGATCTGGGAGGGGGTCTTCAGGACCTCAAAAAATGAGACATACTGACTACATGGGAAACCACCTTTGCTTAATAAATCTATTAGTTCAAATATGGGGAACGTTTCGAGAAACACTTCTCTCGCAAATTTAACACTTCTGACTTTGTTTCACCTAATAACTCCATATTAAAACTTCCTTTCTTTAACTTCATTATTATATATCCCATAAAAATTCATCTAATTCAGACCGCTCTTTAAAAACCATTTAGGAAATAACTGTCCTTCACACTTGCTTTAAGAAAAACCAAAATGGAAAAACTACGAGTCTGAATAAACTTACGGTACTTGAGTATATGTCAAGCACTTCCCACTCTCCCAAACATACGAGCAGCCAACTTCGTACCAAAAATTTTATTTACCTTGAAATGGACTTCTCTCCTTAGCCCACCAGGCAGAGAAAAAAAAAAAGAAGTGAACAGGAGAAGAAAATCAGATCAAAACTGGTTATTCTGCGGAGAGGGACTGGGAGTGCTGGGGGATGACAGGTTAACCACGAGCCAGCAGCGTGCCCTGGCTGCCAAGAAGGCCAATGGGATCCTGGGATGCATTAGGAGGAGTGTGGCCAGAAGGGCGAGGGAGGTTCTCCTCCCCCTCTACTCTGCCCTAGTGAGGCCCCATCTGCAGTGCTGTGTCCAGTGCTGGGCTCCCCA